AATAGTTTTATGGTTGGGTCACAACGTGAGGAACTGTATTGAAAGGGCCAGAAGGTTGAGAACCGCTGTTCTAGACCCTTCCGCCCAAGCTACACCTGGGACCGCCACGTTGCCAAGTGTCATTGCGTGATAGGCACACAGAACGTTCTCATGGGGAAGTGTGCAAGGGGGAGAGGGGAAAGGACCTAAAGGGCGACTCCGATCACCTGCTGCCTCAAGAAACGACACCCATAGGTGATGCGTGCACTCACTGTGGTATCACCTACGGGGAATGGGAGAGTGACATGTTTTATAACGTCCTCACCCAAGGATATTTCTCCATTGGTTTTTAGAGAGAGTGGGAGGGATGGAAGGAGGGAGGGGGCTAAGGAGAGAGGGACGAGAGAGAGGGAGACATCGAGACACTAATATGAGAGAGACACATCGACTGGATGCCTCCCACACTCAGCCCCGGCCAGAGCTGGGGATTCACCCTGCAACCCCGATACGTGCCCTGGACTGGGAATCGATCCTGAGACCCTGTGGTCCGCGGGCCTATGTCCTAGCCACTGAGCTAACTAGCCTGGGCTGGGAGGATGATCTTAAGAACAACTGACCATCCCAGGGATGGGTGAACATGGCCAAGAGGCACAAAACTTCTAGGTGTGAAATAACTGAGTAAAGCAACAGAGAGCAGGGTCTTCAAGGGGAAATGACGCTACAGCTTCCTGTCGGCTGGCTGCGTCCTCCGCTTCCTGCGCTGGGACCAGGGACTGTGAGGGGCGTGGTGAGAGCAGCGGCCGCCGACCAACAGGTACTTATCAGGGTCACGGCCACATGGTTTTGTGACACAAGTTCAGAACAGCCACTGAAAGTGGACACTGACGTTAATTTAAGTGCGGACTGTAAATACTTCGGCAATAATTTAAAGACAATCAAGTCAGCCCTAGCCACTCTGCTCAGCAGATGAGAGCACTGGCCGTTGGACTGGAGGGTTCTGGGTTCGATTCTGGTCAAGGGCACCGACCTCAGTTGCAGGCTGGATCCCTGGCCTGGTCGGGGCCTGTGTGTGAGGCAATCAATTGATGTGTCTCTCTCACATCGATGTTTCTCTCTCTCTGTCTCTCCCCCTCCCTTCTACTCTCTCATAAAAAAAATAAAAAATGGCAAGATTTCATTCTTAAAAACACACAATCAAGTCATATCCTATATAATAAAAGGCTAATATGCAAATCGACCCTACAGCAGAACGTAGGGTTGCTATGATGCACACTGACCACCAGGGGGCAGACGCTCAATGCAAGAGCTGCCCACAGGGGGGAGCACTGCTCAGCCAGAAGCTGGGCTCACAGCTGGCGAGCACAGCGGCGGTGGCTGACGGCTCCCGGACCGCAAGAGGGCGTAGGCCAGGCTGAGAGACCCCACCCCCAGTGCACGAATTCCGTGCACCAGGCCTCTAGTAAGACAATAACTTCCTTTCTCACCTCCTCACTGAAGAAGCTGAAGTCGCATGTCAGCACGTCAGGGTTACAGAACCTGTAGAGCAGGGTGTTGAGGCAGCGCTGGTCCCAGGGGTCGGTCACCTGGCCGCCGTACACCACCTCCCCGAGCAGGTAGCGCAGCTTCTGCCACGGCACGGCCGGCTGGGCCGTCAGGGTGTTTTCCAGCATCTTCACGGCCGCCTGTCGGGAACGCACGCGCTTATGTTATTTCAGGGTGTGTTTTCGGCGCGCTCTGCCCTTTCAACACGAAAGCAACAGCTCTCAGGCCGCTGCCCGCATTTCTTCTGTAGGAATACACGGGAACGGCGAGAGGAATAGACGTAGTAGGCTGTCCGTGTTTGCCCACGACTTCTCGTTTTGTTGTTAAATTCACACCGAACTACTTAATTCATTTCTGAATGGAGTCCACAGGCAAGGCTGCCCCCGCCTGGGGGGGGCCCAATCTGCCTGCCCATGTCGCCCATGGCAGTCTCACAGCGCGTCCCCCGGTGTCCTGGGGCCCCGCCACCCGGCCCTCCCGGGGCTGCCCTGCTGGGTGCTGAAACTCAGTGAAATCACCTGCACTTTCCTTCTCCAAGGACACGCCTTCTCTTGTGCTCTTGGACA